GCAGCACTCGATGTTCCCATGCTGGATCTCCATTCCATGGCAATCGCGATTCGGGATGGTGCAGCTCACATTGCAATTCTTGAGGCTTGGGTGCAGGAGCAGGACGCTAAGATTGATACCCTGCAATGCCTCCATGAGAGCCTCCGGCGCACGGTGATCGACCGGTACCCTTCATTTTCACTTCTGGACACACCGGCCAATGGATCAATGTTGCTTGATCAAGGAGGTCCCCCCCCGTCCATGTCACCTCTCCTCTGCACTTTCCAACCTCATTGATTTGGACATTTCAGTGATGGAACCCACACCCGTGACGCCTGAGCATGGATCTGCTATGGTAGGTCCCATGGTTGAGCCCACCCAAGTTCAGCCTGAGGATCCACAATCCTCCGGCGAAATTGTGCTCCCAGATGAACCAGGCAACCTCTTGCCAGAATCCTCCGGCGATATTGTGGTCCCTAATGAACCAGGTAACCTCCTGCCAGAATATGCTTCCTCTGATGAGGAGATGCATGTTGAGGGAAAGGTTGATCTTCCTGGTGAGGAGGTTGAAATGGCTACATAATTGCTCAGTGATAGATGTACATAAATCTTTTTCAATGCATGTTACCTATGCCACAATTGAATGATTCAATGATCAGTCCCGATATCCAGAACTCAAAACTATAGATTGAGTAGATATCACCCGAAACCCGAACACCCAAATGTCAAATTCTCAGTGCCAAACCCCGAGTCCCGGGTGCCAGGTGCTGAGTCCCAAAATTTGGAACTCAGGATTTGACATTTGAGACGAACGACATCTCTCAGACAATGTTTAAATCAACCTACGTATATCTGTAAACATTTACTAACCCCCAAACCCCAAACCGAGATGTACCAACCCCCGAATCCTGAAACCCGAGACTGCTGGGTCTCGGGTTTCGGGGTTCGGGGGTCCCAGAACTCGGAACTCGGGAAATTTGGGGAGATCAATAAAATTTGATTTACAATCGAGTTTATTGACAAATACATTGACTTACCCATGTTTGAAATATATTTTGTTTACACATACCGAGTTCCGAGTTCTGGACCCCCGAAACCCGAGACCCGGCAGTCTCAGGGTTTGGGGGTCCAGAACTCGGAACTTGTGAAAATTTGGGGAAATCAATAAACTTTGATTTACAATCGAGTTGATTGACAAACACATTGACTTACCCATGTTTAAAATATATTTTGTTCTACATATCGAGTTCCGAGTTCTGAGTTCCAGACCCCCAAACCCTGAGACTGCCGGGTGTCAGGTTTCGGGGTTCGGGGGTCCGGAACTCGGAACTCGGTATGTGTAAACAAAATATATTTCAAACATGGGTAAGTCAATGTGTTTGTCAATCAATTCAATTGTAAATTAAATTTTATTGATCTCCCCAAATTTTCACAAGTTCCGAGTTCTGGACCCCCGAACCCCGAAACCTGACACCTGGCAGTCTCGGGGTTTGGGGGTCCGGAACTCGGTATGTAGAACAAAATATATTTTAAACATGGGTAAGTCAATGTGTTTGTCAATCAACTTGATTGTAAATCAAATTTTATTGATCTCCCCAAATTTTCACAAATTCTGAGTTCTGGACCCCTGAACCCCGAGACTGCTGGGTCTTGGGTTTCGGGGTTCAGGGGTCCAGAACTCGGAACTCGGTATGTGTAAACAAAATATATTTCAAACATGGGTAAGTCAATGTGTTTGTCAATAAACTCGATTGTAAATCAAATTTTATTGATCTCCCCAAATTTCCTGAGTTCCGAGTTCTGGGACCCCCGAACCCTGAAACCCAGCAGTCTCGGGTTTTGGGATTCAGGGATTGGTACATCTCGGTTTGGGGTTTGGCACTGAAAATTTGACATATATATTTTTGTGAGTGTTGTGCTTCTGGTGTCCATGCTTAGAAATAGGATATGTTGCACACCAGGGTTCAGGTGTGGGGTTTTTCCACTTCAGTCCTCAATTATTGGTCAATGCCACACATGGTCGATTCATGTTTTTGTGCTTAGGGGTTTAGATTTGGTGGTTGATGGTAGGTATATGCACTCATAGTGTACATGTATCCTATGTGTTTGATTCGCTGGTGGCTACATCAGCTGTATGTCTTGATGGAACATATCTAGGCTCACCCATATATGTACCCATCTATGTACAATTCCCCCACGTCAGCCCACCCATCTATGCATTATCCCCCACCTCGGCCCACCCGTCTATGTAATACATCCTATGTTGGCCCACCCATCTATATAATACATCCTCCGTCGGCCCACCCGTCTATATAATTATACCCCACCTTGGCCCACCTGTCTATGTAATAAATATTTTATCGCACCCTCGGCCCACCCGTCTATTTGATATCCCTTTTGTCAGCCCACCCGTATATGTAATACTTTTCATGTCGGCCCACTTGTATATGTAATACACCCCACGTCAGCCCACCCATCTATGTAATATTCCCCTACCTTGGCCCACCCATATATGTAATACACCCCCATCGGCCCGCCCGTTGTCTTCTTAGATAGATGATCTATAGATAAACACCTATAAAAACAAATATCTCCACGGTCAGCGATTCAGACAAATACCAATGACTGATAATGTGGTCGTTTGTGGGTGGCTAGTTGTATACTACCCAAGGTATGTTCAGCTAAGGATACTTCTGCAAGATCAGTAATATGATGGTCAATCCAATCTTTGGACTTGACAGGAAAACAAACAAACAATGGTCAGCCCGACAGTATGGCGATGACCAAAAGAATATACGGGTTTCTTCCTCAAGTTCCCTTTCAACAACAGTGCCTCGTGCCAACTATACTCCAAAAGAAATGGTGCGGAATTACAATGATAAACTCTCTCAGCACAAAACAGGTAGAATCAAAGGTCAAGACTAGTCAAATGCTTTATTGTAGAACTCTTAGCTCGATATTGAACCTGCTGTCAAGGAACTCTTCTTTGAGTATTCAAACAGACTCAGGAACGGACATCCTTGGGTTTACTACCAAGTCCCCTCTTCAATGGCTAAAGCCTAGCAGGCACAGAATATCTTGGCTCAGTATCACTACTCAGATGAGTGAGGTCAAGCTTCACTATCAATTCCTAAAGTCTCCCCACTATGCTACTACTGAGTCTTAGGTGGACGTAGAGACAACATGAATATTTTGGATCAGTATTTTTGGACAAAGAACACCAAAGGTCAGTGAAAGTAAAAGAAAAGAAAAAGAATAATAGAAATCAGAATAAAAGTGTGGCTGTACCTTGCTTGCTGGTTGTTGCACACAGTGAGCTCACAGCGGGTCGTTCAGTATGATGAGCTTGCAGTATTACTGTCTCTTGAGAGTGTTCCTCTCAGTCTTGAAACAGTTCTTGACACTGGTACTGACACTTATCACACCTTACTTCACAACTTAGTGTTAGTTGGGCTGAGAAACACCCTACTACCTGCTGGTATCTGCTGCTTATTATTTCAAAAACTGGGGTCATTATATACACAATAAATGTGGCTGTGCTACTAGTGTATTCAAGAGTCATTAAGAGTCATAATGAGTCATAGTAAGTATTTTAGAGTGAGTCATAGTGAGTCATTAGGTATTTTGCTAAGTCATGTGACCTGTCCAACCCCTGATGACAAATCCAGAAAGAGAGTAAGAAGTGTCACATGATATGAATCCTGTGTGTGGCTGTCTTTGCTTGAAAAATTGGTCATGGCAAGGGTGGAGCTCGCCGCAGGCGAGCCGAAAAGATTCCAAGGGTTCGCAGGGGGTCCGACTTCCGAAGCCGGAAAACGATCCCAGGGAGTCTGGCGTCTGGCGTCCTGCGTCCTATGAGAATGATCGTCCTCGGTTAACTCAGGGAGTCAGACTCAACGTTTCAACGGAGAGCAGCCATTGGCCCGTTCTAAAGGCCATATCTCCAAGGTGAGAAACTCTGAACTCGGTTTATTTTTTGTATTTACGGTAACATACTGACTGGTGACATTGAATAGTTAGTTACATGGATAGCTTTACAAAATGTCCACAACGTTTCGACGAAGAGCAGCCATCGGCCCGAGTCCTATCATTCTAAAGGCCATATCCCCAAGGTGAGAAATTCTGAACTCGGTTTTATCTTTTGTATTTGCGGTACATACTGACATTGAATAGTTAAATGATAGCTTTACAAACGCCGCTTACTCGCTACTCGCCAATTCAATCGTTCTCTTCCTCTTTAGGTTCCGTCTCGGCCTTAGTCTTCTTTGGCCTCTCGTACAAGTCCTCCGAGTCTGAATCTTCTTCCTCTTTGGGTTCCGTCTCACCCTTGGCCTTCTCTGGCCTCTCGTACAAGTCCTCTGAATCTGAATCTTCTCGCAGCCTCTGATCCCTCAATTGTTGGATCTCGACTCTAGCTGACTCCATGGCAGCAATGCGCATGGTCCTCACCACCTTCTGCGTGTCTTTGTAGCTACTCACATTTTTGTAGATGTCTTGAATAACAGTGGGCTGAAAGCCCGAGCGGGTCGCAAAGGAGTTGATCTGGTCGTCGAATCCGACTTGCACGAAGCGCGCAATGTCTGCGGGATGAATCTGGATGTCCGGCCGAACTCTGACAGTGTCGTAGCTGCCGGTGAACACATCAAGCGCTTTCTCTGCATTTGTATGTGTGCTAGTATGTGTGTTAGCTCTCCCTGCAGTAGACTTGCAGGAGGGAATATGGATGTGCGGGGCCATTGAGTATTGAACTACTGTGTAACTAGTAATTAGTATTTCCCTGAATTTTACGCGATCGGTGTGCACTCCAATAATGATGTGGTGAATTCGGAATTTCAACCCACCAATCAGAAGTTCAGACAATATTCTTTCAACGGCAGTAGCTCGCATGCAGAAAATATATGTATAGCGGGGATCACGTCAAGACGTTATAGCGTGGTAGTTGTCAAAGGTCAAAGAGGACTCAGAACCCCCTAAAACACGTCTGTGGCTCCACCTCCACCAGTACTACACCTTCGCAGGACATGTCAATATTCGAGCCTAAAGTAGTCCTCAACCTCCTCAAAAACTCGGCAGCCGTCTCGCCTATCGATAAAAGTGCCTTTGAGAAAAGCTGGACTGTAAACGTAAGTTTTTCTTTTGGCCGTCAGAGACGTTGTCATTGACTCGTCGAATGACGGATTAAACACAGGTCGAGAAACGAGTCAGCATATGGAAAGAGTCCCGTAACCATAAGACCCACCCACGTCCAGAGTTTCAGTTGAGGTGGGAGGCTGAGGTCGTCGAATACGTGCAGTGCCTATGGGAAAAGAGTCGACCTCGATCAAAGAAAATCGAGCCTACACATAAGTTAGGCCTCAATATCCCATTGCTCGGGCCTCGATTCGTGCCCCCGTCTTACATACATATTCAAAAGCGCTCGGGACTCGGACATCAAGACATAGAGCCAGTAACACAGTACATCAAACCCTTCAATGTCATTCACCCGTTCTACTACCCACAGCTTGCCACCTGTCCTCGATGCGGCTCTGACAAGGAGACCACCTGGGAAGGGTGGACAAGCACGGGGCCGCGCGAACTCCATGGTCTTATCTGCGAAGAGACAGCACTCGGCGCCCAACTCCGATGCAATACATGCAAGGAATCAACAAAGATGAAGAAGGCAACCGACAAGAACATACCTGGAGATGCCGAAGATGTCCAAGCGCATCAACCAGCCAACTTGGAGGGCTACTGTTTTGCAACGACGAGCGCTGCATACTGGAGTTCATGGGAGCACTGGCAGATTCCTCGTGAGTTTCGTGCATTAGATGTCAGGAGCATCCACTCACCAAACGAACAGGCAACATCCCAATCTTTTTCTATCGCTGTGCCCTAACACGTGATCTCTTCGACTTGCTGGTGGAGATGCGCCCGTCAACAACCTCTGCAGGGCTGGAAGAAAGAGTCAGACGTGAGTGCATGCAGTCTTTCTTTTTAGAAAGACACTCTTACCGTATTCGGTGTGCCGCAAAGAGCTCCACCTGTTGGAACACAAGCGGTGAATGCTTGAATACCTTGAAGTGTTTCAGATACAGCCCACCTGCAATGCAAATAGCAGACTTACCGACTATTTCTCTGGTAGTAAGAGCGCTGTGAAGACACTCCAGGCATTCTCGAGCGCCAGCGACCCGCTTGCATATGCTGACAAATCGATTTCGGGTGAGATTATCACAGAAGTCTTCCTAGACTTCTGCGCATGCACAAGGCAAAAGGAGAGTGGAGAATACCTGAAGACTTTATCAGGTTAGTTTACAGAAAGACTCGTGTGACCAACGAACCTAATTCTCTAACCTGGCAGCCATATGCGGCTCACTCGACAACACGTTCAAAGCAGCAAGTAAGGCCACACTTACCGACAAGGACCGCCAGAAGTCTAGGGAGCTGAAAGGCGGGATATTGAGTGTTTTGAATGAGGACAATCAGATCATTTCATGGGTGAGTTTCGACAATGACTCACCTAAGCTTTTCACTGACATATTCGTTCCATATGTAGCGCTTTTGCCAGATGCGCACGAACGCAGAGATAACTGAACTCCTTCAAGGTCTTAAGCACCGCCACGACATTCTAAACGTCCCCCAGCCAAAGATGATGGTCGCTGATAATTGCTGCCAAGTTCGAAATGCAGTGACCTCTGCAATGCCGGAGACAGATTCAAAGCTCGATGTTTGGCACTTTAGTGCGAGGTGAATGCCATGCATCTACTTCTACTTAGTGTCTACTTACTCAATGTGCACTTGAAGATACATCGCTGTCATGCTCCAATCGAGCAAAAGTCCTTATCGAGGCGCTGTCGCTGCTGACATCACAGGCGCCATTCTCAAGACGCATGCCGAGAAAGGTCAGCCTGCGCGATACGGGGACCGAGCAGAGCAGGAACGGAGGCTTATGGTGGCATTCAGCAAATGGGCAGACAAAGGTGTTTGGTCAGCTGCAGCGCAGAAAGTAAGTTTCATTTTTCGCTAAGTACCACCGTAATCGATCGCTACTGACAATAATGGCTCAGGTTCACCAAGAACAGTTGAAACATGTCCGCAGAGGGTGCCTCGAGCGCAGCGTCCAAGGCATCAGAGCTGATGGGAGTCGCATTGAGGGATCCCACAAAGGGTGGAATTCCCTTCAGCGAGCACAGCCAAGCGGTGTGACGATGCTCGCTGCCCTCGGCCATGATTTTGTCCTCCGTCGCAACGTGCGAGTGGCTTTCAGCAGGCCCGAACTCACGCCATTCCTCAAGTTCGCCAACGGTTCACATCACCTCCGACTCTGTGACTACATAGCGAGGCTTCACAACACGCTCCAGCAAAAAACTACTGACTCTCAGCTGCAGCTTCTTCCTGAGCTTGGTGACATCGACTCAGGCGAGACTTTTGGGTTAGTTATGTCAGATCATGTAGCGACATTCGGTGGTCTTTTGATCAAGGAGGAGAACATTGAGAAGGGCCTACTTGACTCCTTTGATTCGTCTGTTGACTCCACCACAGGTGAGGAAGTCGACCTTGCGTTTCTTGCCAGTCGGAATGTCATCATCAACGAGTGGCAAATCGACCCCGCCCTTCTTACACTCCCAGCTGAAACTTCAAGACCAATGGTAAGTAACAACACCTCCATTCAACCCCCCCATATCTCATTTTTTTTCGTGCAGAAACCTTCAGCACCAAAGAGAAAGGCTGTCTGCATCTCGTTGGACTCGGACGATGAAGGGGATGCCAGCGGCGGCACCATCAAAAAACTACGAACCTTAGCATTGCCCAGCACAGAAGTTCCTAGCATGGCCCCAGGTACTGGACGACTCGATGCGTACTTTCCTTCTGTGCAAGACCATCAACGGTGCAGCACACGAAAGCTCCCTCCCGAATTCTCGCAGGATCGCCCAGTGGTTGCCAGCACTGCTATCACACCCGACCAAGGGGTATGTGCTATCACACCCGACCAGCGTTACACGCGAAAACTCCCTCCTGAATTCTCACAGGATTGCCAGGTGATTCCTGGGGCTACCACAGAGGTATGTCCCATCACACCCGACCAGCGTTACACGCGAAAACTTCCTCCCTAATCCTCACAGGATTGCTCCAGCGCTGGGATTAGCAATGCAATTACCCCCAGCGCTGGGATTAGCAATGCAATCACCCCCAGCACTGGAGTCACCAGCGATCACCCAGTGATTCCTGGGGCTACTGCAGAGGTATGTGCAATCAACACCCGACCAGCGTTACACGCGAAAACTCCCTCCCGAATTCTCACAGGATCGCCCAGTGGTTGCCAGCACTGCTATCACACCCAACCAAGAGGTATGTGCAATCACACCTGACCAGCGTTACACGCGAAAACTCCCTCCCGAATTCTTTCACAGGATTGCCAGGTGATTCCTGGGGCTACCACAGAGGTATGTCCCATCACACCCGACCAGCGTTACACGCGAAAACTCCCTCCCGAATTCTTCACAGGATTGCCCAGTGCTTGGCAGCACTGGCATCAATAACTCGATGGCTATCGCGGCAGGCCAGACCCGGTCTCAGCGCCTGTTCTCCATTTCCACAGGTATTGATCCTCACTCGCTCACCTTCCAAAATTCGGACGAGTTCTATCTATTTATGGAAATGCGGGCTGAGTTCAAATGGCTGTCATATCAAATGACTTCAAAGCGCTGGGTGCTGGCGACAGAAGAGTACAACCGCCGTCTCATCAAGAAAAAGGGCCAGTCAGTCGTCCAGAAGAACCCACAAGCCCTCCTACGTGCGCTGGGTGACATCGAGCCGAAGCTGATGAGCAAAATCACCAAGAATGACTATACCTGTGAGTCCGTTTGCAAACACCCCAAACTACTTTAACATTGGGTAAACAGCACGCAAAAACAGTGAGTCATTTTGGCGCCGTCATTGTTCCGTCGTCCCACTTGTGAAGGAAGAGCCAGGCAGAAAGGTCAGTCACTTGCATCTGGTCGTTTGCACATCGTTCGCGCTGACACATCAACCATCATTTTATTTTCAAGGCTCGAAAGGCACAGACATGCTCCCGCTGTCAAACAATTATGTATCCAGGACCCGAGAACTCGCCCCTCAACCACAAGAAGGGGTATTGCGCAGATGGTGTCAAGCAGTCCTCCAAGGCTGCCGGCGAGGAACTGCCTCCCTGGCCTCAGCCACGAGGAATCTTCTCTGAGGGCCGAACATTCCACCCTCACGTGTTCCTGTCGACGGTCCAGCGCGTCTACGAGCACGTCTTCATGCAGGGACCAGGAGAGACGGACCTGCTCGAGACCGAAGCATTTTCGAAGCTGCTGATTTCACGCACCGAGGTTCACGAGTCGGATAACATGGTGCTTTTTCGACTGTTCAAGGGTTTCGTCACTGACCCAACCACTCCCCGCGACCGGATTGTCTCTCGCAACGGTGAGGAGTGGCTGAGGATTAACTACCTGCAGCAGTAACATTTTTTTTCGGTGAGTCGCGCACAGATTCTTTGAGTCGCGCACCGGTTACCCTGTTCTGATTGGCTCCCCCTCCCAGCTCCCATTCTCGCACTAACGAATTCCAAATATCCCCCCCGTTTAATTACCCGCTTCCCCCGCTTCCCATTCGTTGGATCCGTTCGTCCATTTCGTCCGTTCGTTCTGATCCGGTGTTCGTTCCGTTTGTCCGTTCGTTTCTGTCCGTTCCGTCAATGGCATTATGGTCCGTTTTTTCGTCGTCGACTCACCGTGTTCGTTTGTGAGTGGGCCTGCTCAGCAGGCCCACTCAACAACTTAAGACATTGCCGGAAGACAAAGATAGGTAGGGAGAACTCCGCCGAAAGACAAGATCGTAGGAGAACAGGATCAATGATATTATTCTGCCGAAGACAAGATCGTAGAGAACAAGATCAATGATTCCTGTTCGGAATGGGAACAGACACGGGGGCAACGCACGCTGCTTTGAGAGCTTCGAGCGTGTTAGATGTCGCCCCCCGCGCCATGTTCTGTAAGTGCGGCAAATCCCGGCGTCACGTGACCTTTGACCTCACGTGCTTTTCAAACGGTCCAAACGGTCTGTCGGTCTTTGAAAAAACGGTCGACCGTTTGCGTGAGAACCCTTGCCATGTCGAAGCTGCCCTTTGCTTTGCTTTGTTTGAAGGGTGAGAATGACGTGAGCCTAGTATTTAGGGGTTTACTAATGTTTTTCCAGGATAACATATGTGGGAAATATTTTTCACAGTCACCTGACATGTGTGAGATTTTGTCTGAGTCATCACCATGGCTGACTAAGCAAAACTCATTGCAGAATTAAATGTACTAAAATATTCAGGCTGCTGGCATATAGACTTGAAAAATAAAAAGAAAAGCAAAAAAATATTCCCTTAGCCTCAGTCCAACTTCAGATAAAAGGGAAAAGGGTTTCATAGTGGTATTTCAGGGTATATGACTCATGAGAGAGTATTGGTCATCCATGCACCGAACCGGTTTGGTGCAGGTCACCGTCTATATAACAATATTTGCCTTACATCTCTCTTCAGCCCAGCTGTCTATAATATCCTACTCTACATATTACCCAGATGGGACTACCCATCTCCATGAATGATCATATTCCCCCGGCCCATCCGTCAACATCAAGGATATATATATCATTGGCATACATGGGCCCACCCGTCTCCATCGGAAATAATATGTGTCCCAGCCCATCCGTCATCATTGAGAATATACACAACATGGGCCCATGATCCGCTGGCCCGTCTCATACGGGATACTATGGAGGTCGGGTGGCCCGTATAATACGGAATTTGTCACTGAAGGGGCTCGGCCTTGTACCATCAATTATCATTTTGAAGATGTGAAAGCTGAAGTCGATGCTTTGATCCACGGTTTCAAGGCTGTGAGTCCTGAATCACAGGCAGCATTCAGTAAATGTGATCCTGGTTCGACTTATGTCACTAGCTCTCAACTATGATAATGGTTGACACGTGCTCTGCTCACAGCCTACCTAATGGTGCTAGCTAATCCAAATGCACCAAGAGGTTTGTATTGACCCCTAGTGATTAATGTGTCACGAAACTGACCCCATTCTTGAAAAATAGAACACCTCTGGATCAGCTGTGATTTGATCAATGCTTTCTTGTTTTTGGACGAGTACACTGATACCAAAAACGGGGTAGTCACCAAGGAAATTGTGGATATTGTGATCAATGCCCTACATGATCCTCATAAGATACGACCAGAAGGTGAATGCATCCTTGGTGAAATCCTATGACAGTAAGTGCTTCTGACTTGTTTGGTGATCATCTGGAGCCCAAGATGTTTTTGCATAGATTTTGGGTTCGCGCAATCCAATCCACAAGTCTGTCTTCTCAACATCACTTCCTTGAAACCTTTACTGCATCTCTTCATGGATTTGTTGCCAAGGCTCTTGACCATGAACAAGGTCATAGGCACAGTATCAATGACTACATGAAGCTCCAGCAGTATACGGTTTGTTTAAACCATGTTTATTCATATATGAAATGGAGATGAACCTTCCTGATGAAGTGTTCCACCATCATGTCATCATGGATCTTGCTGAATGCATCACAGACTTAGTTCTGATTGATAATGTAAATCAGTTTTGGGTACGTTGATTTGCAGCTTGGGTATGCTTACGATCTTCACAGGACATGATCTTGTACAACAAAGAACAAGCGGCTGGGAACAAAGACCACAACATGATCAGTATTATCATGTTGGAAGTTGGTCTTGACATAAGTGGTGCAATGGCTTGGGCAGCGCATTATCATGCCGAAGTTCAGAAATGATTCATCAACAGTCCTATGAAAGTTCCTTCGTGGGGACCTTCTGTTGACATCCTAGTCAAAGAGTATCTTTACGGGATAGCAATGTGGCCCCAAGCAAACCATTCTTGGAGTTACAAAATTCACAGGTAATATGAATTTCCCATTGGTACCTGCATCACTTAGTCCGATTGGGGTTACAGGTACTTTGCCACCAGTGGTCCCAAAATACAGCAAACTAGAATTGTCCCATTGTTGCCAAGGCCAGACTGTGTGAATCTATCAAGTAGGTCTATTCAGATACGAAGCTCTTTCTATAGAATCTGGCGCCAGCTATTCTTGTACCTTACATATTTCATTGTGTATATTAACTTACTACCACATTTCTCCGTCTGTCCCTCATGTAAACTTTAATGTAGTATTTGAATGAAGACTTTGAGATAATTAATTGGACTGAATTCCTACTCGAAATAATGCTACAGTATATATAATAAGGTACGCTAAATGTAAGTACCCGGACTGTGTATATGTAATCGCAGACTTGTCTATGGTCCGCGAGTCGATGACAAATAATATCCGTTTCGGACATTACCGGTTATTTGTTCCCTACATTGCTAATTCTTCTACATATTACTAATCTTTCCTTGTTGTGCTCGTACCTCTATCTCCAATATGCGCTAACTCCTACACTCCCCCTCGAGCACAGCCTATTCCCATTTCATCTCTCAATCTTTCGAGTCTCGGCCTTGGCAGTGCTTTTGTGAAAGCATCTGCGAGGTTATCGTCCATTGGTATGTATTCTAACTTTATCGTGTCATTTTCGATGACTGATCTGATAAAGTGATAGCGTATATTGATATGCTTCATTCTAGTGTGGAACTTGTTGTTTGAGGCGAGGGCAATGGCGCCTTGGTTGTCTGAATAGATGGTGATAGGTGCATCCTTTCTTTTATAAAGTTCTTTCAGTAATGACTGAAGATATAGCACTTCCCTCATTGCAGACATTAGCGCGATGTATTCGGCTTCGGCCGTTGATAACGCTATAATTGTTTGCTTCCTTGCGCTCCAAGCTATCGGCAATCCGTGCAGCAGGACTAGGTATCCTGATATGGAGTGCCTGTGGGCTTGGCTTGCCCAATCCGCGTCCGCATAAGCCTCTAGATCTTTCTCTCCCCCCCCCAAGGTAAGTTTTCCCTTCTTTGTTGCCTTCAGGTAACGGATGACACGTTTTGCTGCCTCCCAGTGTGACTTCGCCGGTTCTCACATGAATTGCGACAGTACCGACACTGCTAGTGCTATGTCCGGCCTAGTACAAGTTGCCGTGTACATTAGCGATCCAATCGCTCTCTGATACGGTACGTGTTGTTCGGATATTTCAGATTTGGTGCCTGGCGAATGGTCTGACTGTTCTTTTGTCAGTTGTATCCCAGTCTCCATGGGAATATGCGCCGGTTTTGCGTCTTCAAGGCGGAAGTGTTCGACAATTGTGTCGACATATGCCTCTTGTGACAGTGTTACGGTTTGCGCGCTTCGGTCTCTCTCTATCTTGAGACCCAACAACCAGGTAAGCTCTCCCAGGTCTGTTATCTCAAATTTCTGGCGCAACTGATCTTTAAACTTCTGTATATGCTCCAGATGCTTTGATGTTACGGCCATGTCGTCAACTGATACCATTACGACGGTGTGCTCATCCTGTTCCCTCCGATAGTACACCGCTCTATCGACTTGCGAGCGTGTGTATCCGGCTTCGAGGAAAAATTCTTCTAGCTCCTTGGACCACTCAAACCCGGCTTGCTTCAAGTCGTATAAGCTTCTCAGCAGCTTTTTCCTTCCTCTCCCTTCTTCAAGTATCCGGATGGTGCCCGCATATACATGTCGTCCTTGAGTGTAGCATTTAGGTAAGCACTTTTTATATCCACTTGGTGCATCTCCCAATCATTTCTTGCAGCCATTGACAATACTGTCTGAATCATTGTCATATTTGAGGTAGGGGCAAATGTTTCTTGATAGTCGATGCCGTATTCTTGACGGTGACCATTCGCAACTAGACATGCTCTCAGCTTGACTTTCTCCCCATCAGGTCCTCATTTCGTTGCTAAGACGAAATGACATGGTATGATGTTGGCTCCTCTTGGTGCGTCTACTTTCTCCCATGTTCCAAGTTTCTCCAATTGACTAATCTCATAGTCTATGGCCTGCTGCCATTCATCCGCGTCCAGTCCGCTTAACGCTTCCTTAAGTGTTGGTTCTCTTTGCACAGCTGCCATGGCCATATACGAAAAATTCATTTGAGTGTCGTCTGGTGAGTCTTCTGTTGCTATATTAGCTCTCTCTCCTTCATTCAAGGCTTTATAGTATCCTGCAGGTGGTCGTACTCTCGTGGCCTTGGGTGTTATTGGATCCGGCAGTTTTTGTACACTCTGGGGTGGTGTTTTGGGAGGTTGACTTGGTGTTTGGGGGAGTTGGGGAGTTTGTGTGATGGGCTGGGCGATTTTCAGTGCATTGATTTGTTCTTCCTAGTTATACTCCCCCTCGTCCAGTACATTGTCACGAACGATGACATCTGGTGGGACAAAGCTAATGTTGCATTCTATAGATACCCGTCTCTTCATCGGCCAAAAAATTCGGTATCCTTTGCTTTCATTGTCCACTCCCACAAACAACGCTTCTTCTGCTCTGGCTTCGAGCTTTCCATGATCTGGTGAGTGCACATATACTCTGGTTCCGAATTCTGTTGCTACCGTTAAGCTTGGTTTAGTTTTGTGCATCAATTCGAAAGATGTATGCCCAGGAATGGCACGAGACGGTAAGCGATTCTTTAACCATGCCGCATAATTAATAGCCTCGGCCCATAAGAACTTCGGAAGGTCCTTGGCGATGAGCATGGCTCGTGCGTGTTCGACCAGTGTTCGATTGAGTCGTTCAGCCACGCCGTTTTTCTGTGGCGAATCATGTACTGTGAGTTGTCTCATTATTCCTTGATCTTTCAGGTATTCATCAAAATCTTTGCTCGGATATTCACCTCCTCGATCTGAACGAACTTGTTCAGATGCGCTCTGTGTTGACGGCTGACATAAGCCTCGTATTGCTTGAATGCGGTAAGTGCGTCGCTTTTCTTCTTCAGAAATTCTATCTTTGTCTCCCTGCTATAATCATCAGTAAAACTGATGTAATATAGACATCCTCCTATTGTTGCTGTTTGTGCAGGTCCCCAGAGATCAGTATGGACCAATGCACCATAGGTACGAGATTTGATTCTGGATTCTTCGGGAAATGATTGACGCGTTGCTTTGGCCTGTGCGCAGGTTTCGCAATATTCCGGTTTTGATTCTATATCGAGATCTAGACCCTGGATTAATCCTTTCTTCACAGCGTCAAGTATCGCAGTCTGTGACACGTGTCCTAGTGTCCGGTGTGCCTCGAAAACGGTTTGTTTTGTCTTTACTGCATGTGCTTGATGCTGATTTTGATCCACAACGCTGTATAACCCGTTGACTTGCGGAATAGCAGCTATGGTCCGTCTTTCTGGTGCTGCTGTCAGGATTTTGCAGAGTTTATCCTCGAATAGGATAGCGAATCCTGCCGTTGCAATACGATTCGTCAAGATGAGTGTAAAAGCCATTTTTGGAGTATAGAGAGCATTTTTGAGTGTAATGCTTGTTTTCTTATCTCCCAGAGGAAGATCTATGCTAACATCTCCTCGTCCTATGGCTTTGACAATAGATCCATCTGCGGTGTGTACGTCTTGGGCCTCGATTGGCTCAAATGTTACAAACTTTGACCTATCTGGGCAAAAATGGGACGTAGCGCCAGAGTCAATAATTGCTCCGCGCTTTTCGACTGGTATGTCTATCTTCTTCGCAATATTCGCTAGATCTGACATTGCGAACGCATAATCATTTGCTCTTTCGATCTTGTCTGCAGCATTTGCCGTTTCCTTTTGGCCTTTCTTCGTCTGCCTTGGTCCTTGTCCCTCCTTTCTGCCTCCTTTCCTCCAACAATCGGCTTTATAGTGACCCTTCCTGTCACAATTGAAGCAAGTGATATCTTCACCCTTGCTCATCGTGGTACGTCCTCTTAGCGTGTTTGTCCTTGCTGTAAACGCACTATTCTTCCCTTTCTTCTGTGTCTTGGGATTGTTTATCTGCTGATGTTCGTATTCTTCTGTGATAACATTTATCAGCTCATATGAGGTAAGCGGCTGCTTCATTATGCATGCTGCGGCATTTATTGATGACAGAATTGGTCTGTAGGATTCCGGCAATGATCCCATGATAATGGCATAGTAATTTCTCTTGTCTATGCTTACTCCCATTCCTGCTAACGATTCTCGGATCCTTAACAGGTCTCCGAAGTGTGCCGTCACATCTCCACCTTCCTCGCATCTGGTGTCCTGAAGTTTCTGTCGCAGATCTATCTGTACCATCTCTGTTTTGCCTTCGTGGATTCAGCATATTTCTGTCCATATATTCGAGGCTTGCCCGAGGCTCTGGATGCGCAACAATAGTCGGTCTGAGACCGTACTAAATATGTGTTGCTTGATGAGTCAGTCCTTCTGTTGAAACTCGTCTTCCTTCTTCTCCTGTTCTTTAATCTCTGTTTGGGTAGCTACTGATTTATTTGGCTTCAGTGCTTGTCCTTGCGAGTCAATCTCGAAAGGTACAGGTTCCTTCGTCCTACCATCAAGATAGCGCATCAAACCTCGCACTCGTATCACCGTTTGGGCCCTTTCCTTATAGGTTATCCAGTTTGTTCCGTCGTTGGAGAGCTGGGGGATATGATATAATGATGAGGAGCCGGGGAGCATCGTATCCATGGTAGTAGCAGGGCTCATAACCTGTAAACTTTAATGTAGTATTTGAATGAAGACTTTGAGATAATTAATTGGACTGAATTCCTACTCGAAATAATGCTACAGTATATATAATAAGGTACGCTAAATGTAAGTACCCGGACCGTGTATATGTAATCGCGGACTTGTCTATGGTCCGCGAGTCGATGACAAATAATGTCCGTTTCGGACA